TTTGTTTGGTTTGGTTTTTTTCCCATGTTATCTTCTGAGTCATAGAAGAACAGTAAATTATTTGGCTAGATTGAAACTTAGAGCACAAAATAAATTTACAGACAGTGAAGGTGTGGATAATACCCCTAAGGAATAGGTCACGTACTCCTAATGGAGCACAGAGCTAAAACTTTTAATGTTTCACTCCAAGCTTCAGCATAATCAAGACAGAGAGGTTTTGTTCTCACAAATTTTGGCCCAGTGCCTTTTAGGTACGAGTGGAAACCCCTTTTTCTGCTCATCTGTAAGATGTACTTATTCCAATTATGACATTACTACCTTTAACTTAAGAAGCAGGATATGAAAACTGCAGACCACTGTAAACATCCAGCAAGTACGCTCCAAAATTTCTGATCAAACTGCTGAAATACCAGACTGAAACAAGTGCCTGGAAATTAATTGCTACTGACAGAAATTTTGCTTTTCACCACTCAAGTTTTTATCAGATAGGTGATTCTAAATGACAAGAGAAGGGTTTCTCATCTCTGAAAGCAAAGCTGAAAGGTGAGCTCCAAGAGCATTTGTGTGGGTGGGCACAAAATCAAAGCAAATTCTCATTTGATAAAATTTTATATTCTTTGTAGAAACACGGAATTCAATTTAGTGAAAAAGAGACAGAAGCAGCCAAGTCTCTATGAACACGTACTTTCCCTTAATAAAGTAAATTAACAAAAAATACACAATAAACCCACCACAAAAATTAACCTGGATTTGATTCAATTTTGGTTTGGGTGAATCACTCCTTCCCTAAGTTTTCTAGCATTACCATCCAGAATGAAGACTATGGAAGGAAACAATCTATAACAGCACCTGGAACAGGCTCCTCTTTCACAGGACAGTCATGATAAATAGGAAAACAAAATGTGTGTCAAAACAGTGGTGTTAGGCATGAAAATACCCCACTGAAGTTTCGTGACTGCACAACTACAAAGTCCAATTTTAAAAAACAAATTGCTCTTGCCATGAGGAGTTGGCAACAATTGCACTGAGTCTCTCAAGTTGCTGACACACCCAAGCCAGGACTGCTGGCCACTGAAACACACACTCTGTCACAGCCATGTCTTGAGCAGATGCTGGGGAATTGATTTATTTGATTATTTAGAAGGTTAATAATCAAAGCAAATATGTTTGATATATTAGCTCTTTTTTTTTTAAGTCCTAGTAGTCAAACAGAAGCCAGGACTGATGGATCATTACATGCTCACAATTCATTGTCTACTAAGGACACACCAGCAATTTTTCCAAGATTCAGCTTCTGTTGTCTAGACTGGCACTACCAGATACACATGAGAAAGCTGCCCTGCGTCTGTAAAAAGCAGCAATAGGAAAGAAATATACCTATGGCAAATAAGTGAAACTACCAGCGTCATGAACCGTGTGGCCAAGATGCAAGCAAAGCTGCAGAGCAACCAATGACGATGTATTACAATTTGTAAAATGTAACTTTATGCTGCCTTTTGCTTTTTATCATCCTTCCTACTCAGCTCCTTTTTACTTTTGTTGCTAATCAGACTTCTGCACTTGATGAAGTATGTCCAAAATCTTTACATTTTGGTCATGCAATAAAGTTGAAGGAAGGCCTGCATTCCCTATTTTAAGGGAATTTTTTTTTTTACTCTCTTAGAAGTCCTTAAAGAAGACTTTATGATAGCATTTTTTTCAATGCTTAAGCCTTGAGACCAAGGTTAGGTATCTGTGCTCTCTGATAAGAAATATTAGCAAAGGATTTGTTACACGGTTGGTTTGTCTCACAAGCTCTGCTCGCAGCAGATGCTGACCCCTGCAGTCATAAATGCAACCCAGCAACAGAAGAGTGATTCCAGCTCCTTTTTAATGAGACAGAGGAAAGCATCACTTCACTGGTGGAGGTGCGCCTTCACCATTCTTCAGGTAAAAAAAATCTAGCCTTGAAATTAAATTAAAAGTCTCCTTTTTACTAATCTTCCACCCTAGTTACTCAAGCCAGCGATGACTGCTAATTCACACAGCTCCTGGTTTATCTGTAAGGATTCTCAGCGACTGACACGAACGCTTATCCACAATCCATTTTACACCCATTAAGGAGCGCATGAAGGAGAAAGAGCAGCTTGATCACAAGCCACCCCTGTATTTTATTTCAACAATGAAATCTGGCAGGGAACTGCTTTGAGTTTACAGCCACAAGCTGGCAAACACCGGAGAAGCTGAAGTGCCAAATCACTGCACCGCCTCTTGCATCCTGGATAGCTGCCCTAGCGAAAATAACTTGGGCAGCAGAAGGAGCCGCTGCGACAGAAGGAGCCAGCAGGATGCGTGTGAGACGGGGTAATTCAGAGGGCAGGCTGAACGAGCAGAAACCAATCAAAAATCGTTTCTCCAGCCCAAACCCACTCCAACCCCAAGCCAGGCGGGGTAACTCGGTCCGCGGGGTGTGTCCCTGGGGCTGGCAGCGGGGGCTGTGACCAGGCGATCTCCGGGACACGCCCCCGCCATTCCAGGCGCCGCCGCGGGCTGAGGCGCCACGCGCGCCCCTCACGGCGCACGCGCCCTAACGGCCGCCCGGGCACGCTCCTCCTCCTCCCAGCCCGTGACGCGCTGGCGTCAGACGCAGCCTCGTCCCGGGGCGGGGGCGGGGCCGGGCGCTAACGGCGCGACTTTTCAAAATGTCGGCGGGGGGGGCGCGGAGCGGCCGGCCCCGGGCCCGGGAGGCGGCGGGGCTGCGCCGGGGCGGGCGGCCCGGGGCGCCCTGATGGGCTAACCGCGCCCCAGGCTCTCGGCACGACCGGCAGCGGGACCCGAGGGAGAGCGGCCGGCGCCATGGCGACCTGCATCGGCGAGAAGATAGAGGTGCGGGGCGCGGGGGGGCCGGGCGCGGGCTCGCCCCGCTGCCGGCGGGCGTGGGTGCGAGCGCGGTTCCTCCCGCGCCTTCCCCACGTGTCCGCGGCCCCGCCGCCGCTGCCATGGCAGCCGGGGGAGGGTGTATGCCGCGTCCCGGGTGTACCCCGCGGCGGGAGCGGCGGCGGGAAGGCGGCCCGGGCGGCAGCGGCAGCGCGGTGCCGGCAGCAGGATGCGGCGGGGGTGGCTGTGCGGGCCCGCCGGGCCCCGCCGCCGCGCCCCGGAGAGCTCCCCACAGGTAGCGCCGGCCCGCCTCGGGCTTTGCCCGGGTCCCGGCGGTGCGTGGGCTCCCCGCCGCTGGCGGGAGAGGCGCTGCGAAGCCTGGCTGACAAAGCGCCGGGCTAACGAGGCCGGTTTGTTCCTCTTGCAGGATTTCAAGGTGGGGAACCTCCTGGGGAAGGGCTCCTTTGCGGGGGTCTACCGAGCAGTATCCCTGAAAACCGGCCTGGAAGTGGCCATCAAAATGGTAAGGCAGCCGGCCAAGGAAGTATGTGTTTCCCTAGAGACCTGCAACAGCCTGGGGTTCTGCAGTTGGGCAGCGATGTTTGGGTTGAATGTTTGTAAATAACGGACATTAAGATTGCGACTCGATCCTGAAAGATGCACCACAACTAAATAGACATAGTAACTAATAGAAATGCTTTTTAGTGTTGACTATATTTAGCTTATCTGCATAGCAAAATGAGATTGAAGTTTCTCTGCTAAGTATTTTAAAAAAATATTAATAAGTATTAGTATTGATAATGTTAATGATTGACTGGTTTCAGTTGTGGTGTTCCTCCAATTATCTATTATACTTGGTCATTAAAAGAGTATACTAAGGTGAACTGTGTGAAAACTTGATTGTACTTAAAAATTGTGAAGCAAATATGCACTGAATATCTTAAGTTATGCTGTGATCCACTTACAGATAGACAAAAAAGCCATGCACAAAGTTGGAATGGTACAGAGGGTTCAGAATGAGGTGAAAATACATTGTCAGCTAAAGCATCCATCTATACTCGAGGTAAGAACCATGGGGTTTGTAGAGAGGGCTGTATATGTGACTTGCTGCATGGTCTGCAAAATAGAATTTCATTTTTTCCTTGCTTTTTTTCCAGCTTTATAACTATTTTGAAGATAGCAACTACGTGTACTTGATACTTGAGATATGTCACAATGGCGAAATGAGCAGATACATAAAGAACAGAAAGAAACCCTTTTCAGAAGATGAAGGTGAGATTTTTTTGGTCTGTGGAGCCATCTGTAAACATTTAATTCTAGAGGAAGAGTATTTAAAGCTGCCATCACAGTTTCTATACCTTAAAATCTTGTGATAAGTGATAATCTAGAGATCGATTATTATTGTGCATATATTCACTTGCAGTTCTATACACATTTGTTTCTGTTTGTGCTACTTGGAGTATAAAAAGATGGTGATCTTAGAAGGCAGAGACAGATAGAAAGTAGAGCTTACCTTTGTACTTAAAATTCTGTTGAAAGGTGGGTCAAGACTGCGAAGAGGAAAGAAGAAGAACAGGAAAACTGGCAACTTCTGCCTTTACTGCTTCCAGACTCACCTCACTGCTCACCTCTTGCTCAGTTCTTCCAGCTTACCTGCTTCTGTATCAGTTTCTAATTTAATTCCATGATTCTGCTATAGGTGGGGATTTTTTGGGACCTGGGCCACAGAACTGGATTAATGGGGTATGGCTATAAGGCATCATTAGTTTAACTTGTGTCCATTTCCAAAAGTGATGAGCAGCTTAGCATTAATTCTTAAGAATCTAATTTGAGAAAATTTGGGCCAGTTGAAAATCTTTCCAGTCCTGTTTCCTGTGTTACATAAAGAGCAAAGTTGTGCCATTTTGCTTAAAGTAGAAAGCAGAAAGTTAATTCCAGTTTCACTAGTATGACACCTAAAAACAGAAACAAGACAAATAGCAAACTTCCAGCTGTTATCTTCAGAGCTGGGATTTCATCATAGCAACATGTGGTTTTGCTTTGACAGCGCGACACTTCCTGCACCAGATTATCACGGGTATGCTGTACCTCCATTCCCACGGAATACTGCACCGGGACCTCACCCTCTCCAACATCTTACTCACCAGCAACATGAACGTCAAGATTGCTGACTTTGGGTTGGCGACTCAGCTGAAGATGCCTCACGAGAAGCATTACACCATGTGTGGAACTCCCAATTACATCTCTCCGGAGATAGCCACGAGGAGCCCGCACGGGCTGGAGTCCGACGTGTGGTCTCTGGGCTGTATGTTTTACACTCTGCTCATTGGCAAGCCGCCTTTCGACACGGACACGGTCAGGAACACGCTGAACAAAGTGGTGCTGGCAGACTATGAAATGCCAGCTTTCTTGTCGAGAGAGGCACAGGACCTCATTCACAGGTTACTGCGCAAAAACCCCGCGGATCGCTTGAGCCTTTCCTCGGTCTTGGATCATCCTTTTATGTCCAGGGGTAGCTCTGCACGGAGCAGAGATCTGGGAACCTCAGAAGATTCCATGGACAGTGGAAATGCCACCATCTCTACGACCTTCATGGGCTCTTCCAGCATCAGCACCAGTGGTAGCTTGAAGGAAAAGAAGAAGCTGTTAGTTGGACAGCCCCTCCCAAATAAAATTACTTTTTTTCCTACAAACAAGAATTGCAGTAATAATTCCTCAGGAGACGAAAGTGGTTCTTTCCGACAGTGGGGAATTCAGGGAAAGGAAACTGGAGTCAGTGGCAGGGGAAGAACCACGCAGCCTGCTGAGGAGAGGCCACATTCCCGCTACCTCCGAAGAGCCCACTCCTCTGACAGGTCTGGCACATCCCACAGCCAGACTCAGGGCATATCCAACGTCATGGATCGATGTCACTCCTTGGAAGTGCTTTCCAAGCCTAAAATAGGAACGAGGGAAAACACAGAATACTTTTCACCTGCTAACAGCTATACTGATATAGGAGAAATATTTAAGGCGAAGACTTGTAGTACTTCTGGTTCTTTTGAAGAGCAGATATCTCCACCTGAAAAAGATCAACCACAGTAAGAATCAGTTTTTCATTCAGATGAAATTTAGAGCTCCTTTATTGTCTTCTTTCCTCTTGCAGCAAGTTGATTATTTCTTTCCCCACAGTAATTGTAGTAGAGAGCCTTGCTAATTGTTCTTTGTAGAAAGAGACAGATGAGGGGAGAAGGCATTCAAAGTGCAATTATCAACATGTTTACTTGCTGATCTCTTGAGGTGATTTTTTTCTTATGCTTAGAGAGGATAAAACAAAAATTCAGTAAAGATTAGGCAATATATTATAAAGATGGTGTGCCAGAAGCAAAGTGTCAGTCGTAGACAATTATCTGAAATTGAGTCCTGTACTTATTTGTAACTTTTGTGAAAATTCTGGCTCCTTTTCTCTAGACTTTCCACAAGCAGAATATCAAAAGAATGATTTTCTGTTTTAATATAAGGACTTCCATATCTTAGTTCCTGCATTTCTTGCCACATTAAGAACTGGCATAATTTCCTATGTTTTCTCTTCAAGGAAAAGACAAACAAGAAACTGTAAAAAAAGTAAATGGAGTAAGAAGATTTTCTTGACTGTTCTCAGGTGTTTGACATAAGCAAAGTTCAGTGAGCATGTGCATTCTTTGTAGTTTGAGAAATGTTTGAGAAATGAAAAATTTATACAAATGTTACTGTAATGCTTACTTTTGTTCCCCATGACTTCACAAAGCCATGCTGAATGTAAACATGAGAGAATATTAATGTGAGTGTGGGGACTAACTTAATGGTTACAACTTTTTTTATGTTGTTGATTATAGGAAAGCCTCTTACACCTGTAGTTAGCTTGCACAGCAATCTGAAATGCAAGTCCTAAGACTTGAATTAGATGGTTTATATTCTGTGGTTTTGGGGTGGTTTTGGTACTAAGTGACCTCTTGCCAATGTCATCATCACTACAAGAAGTGCAGACAGATTCAGGCTATGGAGATAAAAAAATCTCACAGGAGCTTAGAATTTACAACAGATGAGTGACTCTGCAGTAAATGGTTTTGTGTGCATTCTTTATCCTTCAACATATGGATTATAGCTTGAGTTTACCTGTGGCTATATATATGTCATCATCTAAAAAGCTGGTAAAAAATCATTATAATTTTTGGGTTTGATTGTATTTTATATAAATTCAAAGTATTTTGGATTTGGCATCTTTCAGCTGCATGTTTGTTACGCTGAGTGAGATACACAAGGCTCAAGGGTGTCATGTCATCACTGGGTCTTCTCCAAGGCTATGAATTAAGAGCTAGGTGTAGGAGCAGCTACTGCTGGCAGCATTATCCTAACTTTTCATTCCATTTGGAAACTATTTTATTTTCCTATTCTTTACCCCATGAAAAAGAAGCATGTTCTATGCTTCCTAGATCTACAAAATGCCACCTGCCTTTCCTAAATGTTCTAAGTGTCCTGCTTTCTGCAGCTGTAGCATTTTAACTTTTGTTGTGCAAGTGTCTTTGATACAAACTTGATTATGTGTGTAACTTTTATTTTGTAGCTCAAATTACCTGTGCCCAGTGAAGCCCCAGGTTGGTTTGTTAGAGCAGAAGTCCCAGGCTGAGACGATGCAGCAGTGGCTTGGAAGCATGCAAACAAATGGTGTGTTACTCATCACTTCTGTATTTTTGCAGTCAAGTAATAGTTTCAGTGGGATTTTCTATTCTCATTTCTTTGTACACTGAATTTGAATACATAGTTTCCTAAAACAAGCTTGTTATTTTCTACTACTATTTTAGCAAAAAAATAAACCCCAAAACAAAGAGAACCAGAATTTTAGACCCTGACATAATTACTCAATGTGTGTAAATATGTCAGAGTGAATATACGACAAAATACTAGCAGGTGACCTGAAAGCCCTGTTAATGTAGTTGTGCAATTGCAACTAAATAAGAGAAGATGGGACCTCAATGAATGAGAAAGATAATAAGGCTGCAGAAGGATGGGTGGAGGAAAGGACAAAGACACAGAAGGGAAGGAGGTGTTCTTTGTTGTGCATCATATTACATCATTTGCAAATAAAGTAATTTAATCATAAGAATAAACCATAAATGTATTCTGGCCCTTTTTGGTTTGATGTTACTGGACTCCTTTCCTTCTTGTGTACAGGGAACTGGAATCAGAGAACATATGGTCTGAATAATCCTATTTAATTTTTGGTCCCTTCTCAACTGTTCAGCCACACAGCAGAAGGAGCACAATAGTGATGTGGGTGAGGTGAAAGTTGATCAAGGGCTTAAATATGAAAACTAGGGAAGGAGTTATAGGAAAGTTAAATATAAAAACAGGTGTTTAGAAGAAATAAATACAAGGATTTTAAAAATAAAACAAGGGACTTGGAGTATGCATTTAACATTTTGAGTACTAAGACCTCTGGCAGATGGTAAAACACTAGTTAGATAAACTGCAACTTACATGAAATTTGCTAGTAGTGCTAATCTGAATGGTAAATAAACTGATTTTCAACAGACTAAACCAATTCTTGTGTAAGAATATATTTGAAGTCCTAGTATTTTGTTTATAAATTACTCTTAAAAATTATTTTATATATGAAAACTGAAGACCATCATAACTGAAATGTAGGAACAGCTTAAAGTAGCACTGGAATTTTGCTAGCATCGGTACTGATGGTACTAAAAGGCCTGATGGTTTGGACTGAGAACTAAAGAAATCCCATTCTTCCCTTAAATAAGCCTTCAAAGACAATTCCTTGAAAAGCTTTTAAATATATATAGAATAAGCTTTTAAAGCTTATTATCTATATAAGCTATATATAAGCTATATAAGCTTATATATAGATAAGCTTATATATGTATAGCTTATATACGTATAAGCTGTATAAGCTATATATCTTAAAGATTATATCTATCTTATATTTAAAAGCTTTAAAATTATTTAAAAGCTTTTAAATATACTAGAATTTTTTCCTTCTGGCTATGACTTTGAATCTGCAATGTCCCTTTGTGGTGCTTTCAGATCCTCTGGGACCACCTGCAGACCTGACTGGCAAGAGTAATGCCCGTGGAGGTTTTCGGTACCATCTGGAGGCGCAGCAGGATGCACCAAGGAATGCATGGAACACCTTAAAAGACATAAGGAATCACGGTGCTTCTGGTGACTGTCCACATTCTTTAAACCAGAGAAACCCACAGCAATGCATCCCTGGAGTTGTCTGCAAAAATGAGACAATTCAGCCTGGCCTCTGGCTGAACTCCAGAATGACATGTGGCCTTTGGTCAACTCCAGAACAAAACCAAACTTGTGGCCAAGAACCATCAGCACACCAGAAACCTACACTGCGAAGTGTTGTGTCACCTCTCACTGCTCACAGGCTGAAACCCATCAGGCAAAAAACCAAAAATGCAGTGGTAAGTAACAGTTCTGAAAATGGGAACAACTGATGTGCTTAATATGTGTCTTAAAAATCACTTGGTAAAATAGAAATATATATTTTTAGGAAACTTAATCTAGAATAATTTAGTTTAAAATCATAGTAATAAGATGCATCTTAGCTTTGGTATAGAGAATACTTAGAGCATAATAGAGCAGACCTGTCTGTGTTTTGTCACTTAAGCCTCACCATTAGTTACCAGGCTGATACACTTCAGTCATCTTGAAGTGTTCTGCTTTAAAAAAAATAGCACTAATAACAAAAGTTACTGTAGAAGCATTTATCTGTTTGAAGTGCATTTAAGGAAAAAGAAAAGCATTTATTAAAGCATTTGTGGGGGAAAAAAGTGGTATCTTACCTTTTGCAGAAAGTAGATTCATGTTTAATATATTTTAGGTGAGCATTCTAGATACTGGGGAAGTGTGTATGGAGTTTCTGAAAGAACACCGCTCACAGGAACTTGTGAAAGAAGTTCTCAGAATATCTTGTGATGGAAATGTGGTGAGTACATTTTTGATTTCTTCACTGTTTTATGAAGTGCTTGGAGTTCATTCAGAGCTGTTTTTTTCTTTTTAAGTGATTATTTATTTTGAAATTCACTGTTTATATATGCACAGCTGTAAACTCTGCCCCTCCATAATAAAGCCATATAAATACAAGGAGCAAGCAATTATTTCAGAGAAAAAACTGGACTTGACTTTTGGAATAGGTGAAGTATTGGTGAAAAAGAGTGGCTGTTAAATAATTACTCAGAGGAATAGAGCTTTCATGGTAAAGCATAGTAATTAATTAAAATGTGAGTTATTTCCATACCTGTTAAAAGTGCAGAGTGCTGTAGTAAGTTGCAACTACACACAATTTTTATTCCCTTTTTGTAGATTGCCGTTTATCATCCAAATGAAGGAAGAGGTTTCCTTCTTGATGACAGACCTCCTCCTCCTCCTGAAGGCATCTGCACATATAATTTTGACAACTTGCCAGGTAACCTGAAATTTACTTAAAAATTATGATGATTAATGTGATATTTTAAGTGAATCTTGCAACTTTATAGCTTTTACCTATTACTTCTCTGATAACTCTGAAGTAAAACTCCTTTCAGAATTAGATCCAAACTACAGTTTAACTGGAAAATGTTTTGAAACTTCAGAAGGAAGTGTAACCCACAGGTTTTGATTCCTTTTATATGGAAGCTTTAAGGAGTCTCCCCTTTGCAATGTAGTATACTAAAATTAAAACTCTTGTAGTCTTTTCCTCATTCATACTGGGAGCTGTTGGTGGAAATAAGTCAGTTTCTCTAAACATGTCTGTCACATACTTAAATACTACTCACAACTTTCAGCTATCAAATACATAATTTAAATTACTTCTCTTCAAGCTGGTGTACAGTGTTTAATCTGCTAAATTCTAATTTTTTTTAATTTTCTTTTTTTAGAAAAGTACTGGAAAAAATACCAGTATGCAGCTAAGTTTGTGCAGTTGGTGAGAACAAAAACCCCTAAAGTGACATTTTATACAAGATATGCCAAGTGCATGTTGATGGAAAATTCACCCCCTGCAGATGTTGAAATTTGTTTTTATGATGGTATGTATTCATTTTTGCAGTTATGCAAATAGCTAAATAATGATTTTAGGGCTGTACTACAATATTACCTAACACTAAACAACCACCACTCCAGTTTGAAGAAAATAGTGCACTCTAAGCAGTTTTTTGGATACCCTGCCTTTGTTTTATCACTTGTAGATTAGTTGATTCTTTAATTCCTTACTGATACCTTCCTCAGGAAGTACATGCTATTAAAGTGTTATTTGAATTATACATTATTCATGAGCTCTTCTTTCCATGGTTTAACTGTTATTTTATACAACTCACACTGAAAGTGTTCACATTTTCTTGCAGGAGCAAAGATCCATAAGACAGCTGGTATAACTCGTGTGATTGAAAAGTCAGGGAAATCCTTCACTGTGAAAGGAGAAAGCGAAGCAGGGTTGAAGAAGGAAATCCAGGCTTACATGGATCATGCAAATGAGGTAAGGTGTTTTACACAGACCTTTTCCAAGCAACTTCCTGAAAATTCAGCTTCCCTTTCACAAATGTGCTTCCTGTGTTGCTTTCCATGTTTTTCATTACACTGTTAAGGAGGGAGGGTGATGTTCCTGGAAGAGCAAATATGAGAGTAGAGGTAATGGTTACAATCCCTCACAAGCAGGACTGAGTGCATAAAGCAGGTTTGCCTGTCTGGTGAAAGGATTAAACACAACAAATCAAGCTACTTCATACAACTTGAAAAATTCAGTACTGTTGAAATTCCCTCGTGTGGGCTCACTTGCCCACTAAAACTAAACATGTATGAAATAGTTATACAGTTCTCAATTGAAAACTTTAATGAACTCCTCATTTCAGGGACATCGTATATGCCTTGCGCTGGAATGTGCTGTCTTGGAAGAAGAGAAAAGGAGTGGAAGTGCTCCATTTTTTCCAATAATTGTTGGAAGGTAATATCTTTCAGTTCAAAATACTGATGTATTTGAATAGTTATGTAATTATTGAATATTTATTGCATATTTATGTATTTGAACTGAAAAACAGTTCTGTAGAAGACTCTTTCCATCAGGTGCTTTGGACAGGCCATGGTAAAATGAAGGAAGAGCTTTGTCTCCTCACTGGTTTATTTAATGTCTTTTGGACAGACCTTTTCCCTGTTTTTGTTATTGTTTTTCCAGAAAACCTGGTAATACTGAATCACCACAGGCTGTAGCACCTCCACTGTTGGACAAGACAAACTATTCAAAAGAAGTTGTGGCATTGGATAGAAATCAAGCTGCCAGTTCTACTCCAGTTCAGACTCCAAACTGTGCTCCTGTAAGTACAGAAGGATGTGCCATAGAGACCAGTCTCCCATGTTGCTGTTTTTCTTGACTTAATGGAATTACATTTGTATGGCCATAGGCTTTTATTAGCCATTTATGAGCATACTGACTAGAAATATTAGCTTTGATTTCAACTAACTTTTGATACCTGCATTTAAGAGCATGTGAAAAATCAGAACATTCCAACACTTTACCACAAATGCCTCCTGGGAGCAAAGTTTGAAAATTGCTTACTCGTGTTAGACAGCACAGTCTTTAGTTTGAAAGCTCTGGTGTTCCCTCAGTGCTGTATAACACATGGTATCACAAAGGGTATTAGCACTTGCTGTTGTTGTTCTGAAATAATCAAGTGTTAGTGTGTATATAAGAAAAGGGTAAGCAAGAATATATGTGTAACCAATAAGGCTTTGTAAACAATTTAATCTGGTTTGTTTAAAAGGCCCACTAAGCTTTGGTTCCTCATAAAACTTCCTCAGCTGACTGAATTATACCAGGGTCACACTGAGTTTGTATTGTGAGCTTTATTGAATGTACCTCAATCTACATTTGTAGGATCTGCATCTGATTGTGTAGTTTGTGTGCCTAGTACAGAATCTGACCATTTCCACTAGACTGAAGAGAACTGACAACAAAAAGTTGTGTCCCTGTGGGGTTTTTATACTGTAATGCTGTGAAATGAAGCATAGAGGCTAAATCTGTCTGTATACATGAACAGGTGGCAACTGACCACTGCAGCTCATCAGGAGCATTAATGCCAAGGCTGTTAATTCTGTGCATCTCTGGGTTTTAGGTGGTGCCCTGTGAAAAGCCTACATTTCTGACTAACACTGTTGAAAAGACCTGCTCCTCTGTTCATCAAACGGAATGCAGTCCAAATTCAGCCCAACTCGTCAAATCTGTTTTTGTGAAAAATGTTGGCTGGGCTTCTCAGGTGAGAAATTAATAAAGGAGGCACGTCTATTCTTTTTCCTACTAATTTGAGATAAGTATTTTTAAGTCATTAACTTTAAACTTGATTTGTGAGGAATCATTCAGTTGTGCACTACAGCTTAATCTAAAATTTGTATGCAGAAAGATACTTTTAGATGTCTTAGATAAAAACCATGGTGAACTACATAAGCAGAAGAAACCTAAATAATAGTTCAGTATCTCAGTTACCACAGACTTCCTGTGGCTATTACTGCCTGTTTCAGTGTCCTTTGTCATTTAAATTTGACTCTAGTAAAAAACTGAAACTGTTTAACTTCTCTGTTCACTAACATAGATGCAAAGATGTCATGAAAAGTTTTTAATAGCTACGTACCAGATCTGTACAAGAGAAATGTATCTTCCTCTACAGCAGGAAAAGTTGTTTCCTTGCAAAGCCATCTTCCCTCTGCTTTTCTGTTGAATAAGCTTTAGGTTTAAAACATTGTTCTTGGCTATCCAGAAAAAGTAAACTTCCTGTCCTAACAGAAAAAGTTCTCTTGATATATATATATATACATATACATAAAGTTTAAATTGTGCATACCTATGAACTCTCACAAATGGGCCTCTTTTCAGAGTTTGGCACTTCATAAAATTTCTTTAGGAGTGGTTAAGCTAAAGGTACGTCTTGATTTATCTGACATTGACAAGGATAACTAAAGCCAATCATCTGAAACCTGAGGAAGTCAGCAGGAGACTACTTCCTCCAAATTAATATCGATGCAATCTTTATCTTTGAAAGACTGACCAAAATACCTAAGTACCTTCAGCAATTTTGAAAAGCTTTCAGCTTCCATTATTAGAAGAGTTCCAAGCTTGTAATTTTGTATTTCATATGCTCAAACCACAATGTAACTTCTCTCATCAGCTGACCAGTGGAGCGGTATGGGTTCAGTTCAATGATGGATCCCAGCTGGTAGCCCAAGCAGGTGTCTCTTCCATCACTTACACTTCTCCAGATGGCCAGACAACCAGGTGAGCCTGTTCCTGCCATAAAAACATCCAGGTAACTCAGTACTAGGCTCTTGTACATCAGGTAACTTAATAGCTGCTACTGACTTTGGTTTGTAAATTTTAAACCTTAGCATTGCCATCACTTCACAGTTGGTTTGCTTATGTAAGCTTATTTAATAAAGAGAAGCACACATAGCCAACTGATACAAATAAATATTAATTTGTCATCTGGATAACAAATTACTAAAACAAGCTGGGAATGCATCTACTTGGTCTCCAGAGTACTGCAACTATTCATGTGTAGTATTAAAAACAGGGAGGTTGAGGAAAGTAGTGTTTTGAAATAACTATATTGTAATGAAATAAAACAAATTATTTAAGCATCTCAGTTTTTCTATACTGCTTTGCCACTCTAGGTATGGAGAAGATGATAAGTTGCCAGAATACATCAAAGAGAAGCTGCACTGTCTGTCTTCTATTCTTGTCATGTTTACCAATCCAGCTGGTCCTCACTGACTAAAGGAAACCGGGTGTCATGGCACAAGAGCTTAATAAACTCACTCACTGACTTCACAGTAAAGTGACTGATCTTACTTAGCTTATGCAGAGATTCTTCCAAGATCTGGTAAAAAGCTAGGAAGGGGAGGGTTACTCTCTTTATATGTAGCAAATTGTGTGTGAAGTCTCATACAAAACATACTTTTCATTAAAGTGATGGATAAACTCATTCAAGCCAAACTTTGAGAAACTTAATTCTTGACTGTGTTGTCTTTGGAAATAATCTGAATCTGTTGTATTTTTTTTCTTACTCCACTGCTTACTCAGTGCCAACAATCAAGGAAAACGCATCTGTGCTGTTCAAGTATTTGTAAATAACTTATATTTTTATGTCTTACAAGTAATATATGTAAATATGTATATGTTTTATAAGTCTGTTTTTATTTTTTTGTAGCAGCAGCTTAAAACTTCCCTGCACAAGCATGTTATACAAAAAAAAAATAAATGCAGTGGTAATTGTCTGGATCTATTTATTTGTTTCAAGGTCAATTAGTTGTTAAAGGAGAAGAGTTAATAACTTTAGGTGGTTTTACCTTGTTTTACACATTGAGTAATACTTCCAGCAACTGAAGTAGCATTAACAGTAGCTTTTCTCCTAAGCATTTGGCTTCAAGTGTGCTAACACTCCTGATGGTGCTTGTATCTGTACTTAAATAATCTAAGACTTCCTTATCAGGCAGGAAAAGATCTTAAATGGAGTGGGATCCAAAATGATGTGGAGGAGGTGGAGGATGAAGAGTTTCAGAGGAGTTGGTGCTGGCTGTGTGCAAGCACAGCTGAGCTGAACTGCTTCAAGCCAGTTCTCCTTGTTCAGCTGCGGTTTAAAAGACAGACCTTTGGTTGCTTTGTCATGTCCAAATCAAGGAAATAGCTTGCAAATAAAGAATTTAGCACTAGGAACATCAAGAACAATATACAAGTAGCACTTCTTATGAATTAACTTAAAAAAGTGAAGTCCTTCTTAACAACATTTTGTGATTCTGTAGGAGGAAAGCCCATCAGAATAAAACTTCTGTATCCCCTTCAGTCAGTATTGAAAAATCATCTTTTAATTCAGTAGTCTCTTAGTGTTTGAACAATTGAGTGTATAGGAATAATAATTACATTTGTTAAATTCAAATAGTAGAGACATTAGACAGCAGCCACAACTCTCAAATTGGAGTTACTCCAGAGATTTTTTTTTTTCCCCAGTAGCATTAAAACAGCTAAATGTACCCATACAGATGAGCTTAGGCCTCTTTATGAAGGAAGATTAGAGTCTCACTTTTTAAAATGAAGCCTGAATGACTACAACAGTGTCAATTCCCATTTCTTGTACCCTAATATCAGAAGAAATACAAGTCTGCAGATAATAGTGAACACCCAGGAGCCAGTTTTCTCCTTTCACTTAATTAACTGCCACTGCTCAGCACAGTGCATTCATTCCCACCAAGCACAAAAGTGTAAACTATTGTGCTTAGACTTTTTTTTCTTGTAGTTAAGAAAAGCTGTACATATATCAATGCTGCAGGTTATCCTTCTTGCTACAAAAAGGCATTCAGCAAAATAGTAGAGGAAAAATTGCACATTTGGTTCCTTGTAGTTCAAGTAACAGGTGCTGAAACTGATTTTCAATGGCTCTTGGTCAACTTAAAGACCCAAATCCCACATCAACTACCTGTGTGGAGGGCACCTATCTTCCTATGTGTTTCTGTCACCTGTCATTTGGAATCCTGGAGGAGAGGTAACAGGTTCCAGAACCAGGTGGTTTGTATTAACCAGTGCTTACACGCCAACAAACCCAACATCAGAAGGTTTGCTCAAGCAGTGGTGTCTCCATACAAAGTGCATGCAGCTCAACTAATCTTGTAGTTACAAAAGAGTTACTAATCCTGATTCACAGAATCAAGATATTTCTTTTACTTGTTTCTGGAAAGGATGCACATAACCTGTGACCTTCACAGCTGCCCTCAGTGCACATGTACATCACACAAACTGTACACACTTCAAATGTGCCACAGTCTCACTCAGACCCATGACATTCCTTCCTCTGCTGCTAGAAAAGCAGGACACAGAAGCCAACTGCAGCAGGGGGTATTGGGGTATGACCAAGTTAAATGTTCTGTCAACGTGTAAGTACAGGTGTACAGTTGTTAGCACACATCCAACAAGGTCAGTGGTTAGGTACTCCTCATTCAAAAGCAGTAATAAACTAAGTATTACTTCTGCTTGGTTTTACTGTTTGGGGTTTTTTAAAATATGTATTTAACAATTCTCTTCCTGCATCCTCCCATATCTGACAGAAAATGCAATTAGTCTCTTGTATACGATCTCCAAGAGTAAGAGAGAGACTACAACTACTCCACAGATCAAGCTGAATGCCCAGCGTGGCCCCAGGTGAGTGTAGATTTGGCTCACAAAAACAGGCCCAAGGATCCGTGCTCCACTTCCAGAGGCAGTCAACCATCCCATGTAGACACCCTACAGCAGATCAAAAGCTTATGTAAGTGATACAGGCATTATTTAGCTTGCCATTAATTCCAACCCATTAGCCTAACTAGAAAATTCAGAAGTATTTAAACAACCACTTATCTTTCTTAACTCATTAAGACACTGATTACTTTTGTTTCCAAGAGTACTGCTCAGCCTCTCCAAGCTTTAATTCCAAGGCTCCATTCATAGGTACTCTACTGCTTTCTAACAAAAAACAAGTTCTGGCTGTGTTCTGGCTCAAAGCATTAGGTCTCTTTCACTAAAATATAACAGGAAAAAAATGGGCAAAAAGGGAATAAAATTTTTTGTTAAGCAATAATATATGTTTGCTATAGTGTTTTACCACTAAAACTTGTCCATACTGCGGGTCTAGTAGCATTTGTATTCTTTATATAATAAACTTAGTAAGAAACATTATTCCATGCTGGTACTCCAAATATGTAATTGGTAGTTACAAAAAGAACTCTGCCAGAACAGTCATTAAATTTTTGCATTGTGAAATTTGCATAAAAGCATAAGCCTTGCTTTCTAATTCCCCAAGTGACTTGCCTTGGATTTTGAAAAAGATTGGAGCTCCTGCAAAGTTCTGCCCTGCTTATAACACACTGTTATTTGGCTGATGACAAAAGGAATTTTGACTAGACCCCTCATTCTAATAAAGAGTGCAGGTCTTGCACAGCAAATGAAATAAACCATTTAGGGATGGTGCTTACCTGAGGCTTTGGTCCTAGGACTTTTGAGTATAAAGTGTAGGACATGACATTACAAACAGGATAGCCCAAGCCTATGAGCACATCAGAGCTGATGTACTGGGCCAGGTAGATCATGGGAGTGTGCAGGCACCAGGACTGTGTGACAGGGCAGCCCACAGGTTCTGCTGTGTGGTTGGATGGTAGCTGCAGCTCTGGCAAACTCCAGAAAGGCACTAACATTTCACTGGGGGCTGTTCTGGGAATGGAGTTGTTCTTTATTTCTGTAAAAATAAGTTATTAATATCATTAAGAACAAAAGTGCAAAGAAAGGCTTTCAAAAGAAGGTGGTCTAATAAGACTTGAACTGTACCTTGCCACTGGATATTTGGTAGTTTCTTCCCCCAAGGCAGTAAGATAAAGAATCCAACCAAGACTATCAGTAAGCCTGCATGGAGTATGGCACGCTCACCAGTCCTACCAAACAATGAAATTGCAGTTAAATTATCATTTAATTAATGGAAAATTTAGGTAGCTGCTAACGACACAGCCCATTCGTTTGTGAAACTTATATCTGACCAAAACACCGGCAAGAAAAGTTACAAAATCACAGTAACTTAAAACCAGCATTTCTTGTGATTCAAGGGTAAAGACAGTCAAATAAGAGGGGGTTATGTTAACAGAATAAAGAACAACCACAACACCAAGGCTGTGCCAAAAGTGGAGGTATTTCATTGTCATAGCAAACCCAGACTCATTACCAAGTAAAAGGCTTGAGTAAGGGATTTAGCCTTGCCATAAAGTTTTTCACATTTAGCCAACATAGGAAGCAAAATCCCAAAAACTTACTTTTTTGATAGTGTTTTAACCACCATGAAAACAATAACTGATTCAATGCCAATCACACTCAGGATTATCCCATTATAAAAAACAGCTTGTTTCCTGGTCCAGGAATACATATCCATTGTCAGTGGAGTGGCTATACTGGAATGACAGAACAAAAACACAGTAATCATAAAAAGCTTCTTCCATACTCCATACATGTATCATCCCAAACATCAATGCACTACACCAGCCATACTCTGTAGCATTATTAATCTATTTCTGATAGTTCATGAAATCATGATGGAGTGAAAGCCAATAGAGACACAAAAAAAAATCAGACCCTCTGAGAACAAAAATTATAAACTTTTGATAATGTTTAAGTTTTAGCAACTAACCAGTCTCTAAAACCTCCGTTTTCTAAAAATAATGCAACTCATGACAGAGCCCTATTGTAAAATAAATTTTAACTACATCAGAGCTCAAAAAACTCGCAGAATAAATCATATATCCTCGAAGTATTTCCTAAGTTAAAAAAATGAAGTACACTTGAGCCTGAGATAATGATGCTATGTTTTACTTTGTTTCTTACAGACAGAAAATTTGGTAGTAAATAACATACCTCTTTAAGCTAAAAAAACCCCAGTCATATAAAACAGTGTATTTCAGAATACAGCTGAATTAACTCTAGCAATTGTTTTAATTATTACTGAAATAAAAGATGCACTGAAGCTTCTGGAGATAATCAGAACCATACTAAGAAATCACACTAAACTAAAACAAACAACAAGGTACTCAACTGAAAACATGTTTTCTCTGAAGATTTTAGGCAGCCCAAGTTAAGCTTTTTTTTTTAATACTTAAAAAGTTGAGAATATGGATTTGCCTCCATTCAAAAGCTTTTACATTAAATGTTTTCTATACCACAAACTATATATCTTTAGTTATTGTTGACCTTTAATTCATTACTTTAGTTACTGCTGACCTTTGATACATTATCAGTACACATCAGCTTGATTGCCTCTGGTTTTGGACTTCTACTTAGGAAGTTAGGAAGATGAGTGGAACAGAAAATCCCTTACATGCACCCCCACTATAATTACTCTACATGTCTGAATATTTTGAGAGAAAACAGACAAACTTACGTTTCAAAGACAGCAAACACAAACAGGATGACAAAGAAGAGAACGTTGAGTGCTACCACAGCAACGTGGTCAATGCTTCCTTCTGTGTTCTGATCCAGAACATCACTTCCTGCAGCAACACAAAAGAATTACCTGAACTGCACATTGAGCTTTTTCTTATACCATCACAAATTACAACTGATTCCTTTAGTCTTCCATGTATTTAGCATGCAAGTTGGCGGGCAGCTAGGCAGTTACACTTTGCCAAATATAAAAGTATACAGTTTTCACATCAAAATGGAGTTGTTCAAATTTCAATTCCACTGTCAATTAGAGGAAATTATTTCCATACTGGTTACACTGTCTGTTTTCCCAATGAATATTCAGTGACAGCAAAATAAGCAAACTTCTTGAAATATCTGAACAATGGAAACCAAAACAATCTCTTCAAAACTCAAAATTACACAGCAGAATTCTCAGGGTGAAAATATGGAAGGACCCATACTTTTTTTTTTTTTCCTTCTCTGCTACCAGATAGCAGTATGGGCACAACACGACAGATGAAGCCATTTCTTGACCAGCTAGGGAGAGATGTAGCCTATTTTCCACATCAACTTCCCAGTGCATCAGACTTTAGAATACTTCTAAATGCTTCTATGTAATAAGAGAGTACCTCAAAATTGTAATAACACAATAAGTTTTCAAGGAAACACTGGTACCTTCTCCGTCAGAATTGATGCTTTTGTACTGCCGTCCCATGTCATCCACTCGATGCTCCCTAAAAATTTAGAACTTTTTTCATTAATATACACATTTATTTGATCTACTATTGAGGATATTATAGGATATAAGATAATATATATAATCCTATATAATATATAGGATAATTATTTGCAGCTCCATTAAACATCATCTACAAAGCTGACACCTGACTGCAGTGAACACTATTCAAGAAAGGAAATATTCTAGTGGGAGGATATCATATATCCAGATGCATCTGTACCAGGGGCATAATGAATAAAAATGCCCCCTGAGAATCTAAAAGGAAAGACACAGACAGTGAGATCCCTACAGACAAGCAAACCTTATTTCTCCTTAGAGAAAAAACATGGGCAGCAACTACCAACACTAGAACTATGTCAAGCCTAATAGTCCAATATCTTTAACTTTTAAAATCAGTTTATATTCTAACCGTAACATCACCAAGATTCATTTATGAGCATCAGAAAAATACAGCTATTAAAGAAGGTCAAAACACTGAAAAATGAATAACCAATTATAGCTTTAACACTCCAGATTTCAGGTTTATTACTCCTCCTGCTGAGCAGCATATTATTTGCTACAACTCACCCACAAAAACAAGGTAAAGTATTTATAAGGGTTTTTTTTACTTGATTACCTGAATATGGCAAAGATGAGAATAATATTAATAACTCCTAAGAGAGCTCCAAACAACACTGGTGCTGTGTACATGTTCAGCTGAAGACAAAGGAGTTTCCACGTTACTCCTTCTTCTCCAATAAGCGTAAAACATGTCTGAAAAACTTAAAAACATCAATGTACTGTGAAAATCTTGAGAATCATTAAGATTAGAACACATAAGAAAAGTTCTAACTGCCAAGTAAAATTTAAGTATTATACCTGTCAAACCTTTTACATTTTGAGAATTCTGCTCTAAATAAACCAAATGGATACCAGTGAGATCTCAGCTAGCCAGGAAAGTACTTGATTACATAAAATAAACAATATAAACAGCATCATGACACTTTTAGAACTGAGTTCTGAGTGTATCAATAGTTAATTTTCTTGGCAGGCAGACAATTTATTTTTTTATCTCTTGTTCTTAACAGAAAACATTGGTCCTGGGACTGGATTAGCACTTGTGCTAAGGGCAAACTAGAAAGAAAAGATGCAGTAGGGGGGGTTAAATTAAATTTTAAATTGATACTGAACAATTGGACAAGAATGTTTCATTTATATTGGCTTACAGAAGTATAGATTAGTAGACCCCATTTATTCAATTGTGATATCACTGACAAGCTGTGCCTTAAAATCCCCTGCATACAGCTGCTGAGGATTCCTACTTCCAATGCCCAATTTCAAACTAGTAAGAGAAGTGAGGAAAGAAGATTTTGCTTTACCTGGGCCTAATATGAAGCCAACTGCTTGGCAGGCACTGGTGTTGGCCATGGCACTCGTTCTTTCCGTCAGAGAAGTGGCACCCGCAATATATGATCGAACTACAGCCACATTTCCTTCAAAAAAAACCCAAAACCAGGCAAGTGTTCATGTAAATATCAAGTTCATATTGTAAACTGTTGAGTGACATTTATTTCAGGGGTTTGTTTCTTATTTTGCAAGATAATAAAAGCCAGCACTCCCTCCGGTATTTTTACACAACAGCACAATTACACAATTTTGTTACAAACCACTATGGGCCAACCCTTTGCTTTGTTAAATATTAAATTTTCATTCACATAATGGTAAATCTGGTATTAAAACTTAACGTTAACCATCTTACACCAGACACAGAATGTAATAATTTCCAGAAATGTAAATCCTGCCGTGTTTACCTGCTCCAAACCCCACGAGAGCGCGGGCAGTCAGCATGTAGTACTTGTTGTGGGCACGGGGCACGTGGACGTAGGCATAGAGACAATTAGCAGCTACTGAAATAGCCGTGGAAATGACCAGAGGCTCTCTCCTGGGCCTGTAGTTGGACCAGAGGCCAAAGAGGGGAGAGGCAACCATTTGGCCAATGCTGTATGAAGCTATAATCCAGCCCAAGAAACTCGCATCCGCCGTTGGATCAATCTGCAGGAACACGTGAGTCAGGTCTCTGGGGGAAGCACTGGAGTGTTTGATATTACCAGCAACACCCTTTGACAATTAGTACCTGGGACACCAAGGACTCTGTACTGTCATGCTTTCTCTGGGGTAATAAACCTTGGCTCACTCTCTCCAGCAATGCACCAAACCAATAAAATCTGCTTTGCTTCCAAGCCTGGGAATGGCTCACTTGCAGCGAACTCCAGGAGTCTTTGTACAGCACTGCTGGTGTTCTGGGCTAGAGACAGAACTTGAGCCTTCCATGCCAGGAGCAAGCAGCCACTTCCATTGGCTCTGCACATGCCTGAATCTGTCCCGATTTACAAGGCTGGCAATGCATTTTCTTGTCTTCTGCAAGAATTCAGCATCAGCCTCATCTTCAATGACACCTCTAGGTCCCTGCCCAGGTTATACTCTTCCAAATTTGCATTTGAAAGCTGCCTTCTACAGTTCCAGGGGCACTAAAATCCTAGCACAGATTAAACTGAGGTTTCAGGGACTTTTAAGATGTAAGAGGTGAAAGCCCTGAACTAAACTAAAATCACTATGCAAGAACAACGGCTATCCCCTGTTAGGAATATCAAGATCTATGTGCAACAATGTGACATTTACAAAGCAACATCTACCTTCAGCTTCCTCTTTTTCTTTATTTATTTTCAAAACACAGACAAGTCTTGTCTACTAGGTTTTAATAACAAGACTTCTATTGATTTGCTGCCCAGGAAATCATGATATTGGAAAACCAAACATTTCTGGATTATGATGCAAAGGATTTCATTTTGCAAGAAATATAAAAGCTGTCTAAGTGGAGGGCAGAATAAAAGTCTCTTAAAGCCATACACCTCCCTCTACTTTTTCTTTTCCTAAATAAAACATCAGGTTTTGTATTATCTACTTTCTGAGCAGGAGTCTTCTGTTCTTAATTATTTTTAAAAATGCCCCATATTTACAAACCTTTTGGAGATACGGCCACACAGACATAATTACAATTGAGAAACCTGTAACACAGTAAAAAATGAAGTTATTTTATTTGCCATTTTTATCAGTAATTTTCTTTCCTGAAACAGTTCTTACAAGTCCATTTTTTCTGCCTCTAAATGTATAATTATAGTACAAATCTGTGCATTTCCTGCTTTTTTCAAGGAGTGGTAATTCCTCTCCTTAATAATAAAAGTAAAAAAAAAATAATAAAATAGGAGGAATTATTTTCAAAAGATCATTTTATAGGTACATACACACCAAACAAAAGACCTCCTATGCTGTCCACCCAATGGAAAGACAACAAGGTTCTCAAAGTAAAAATAATTTCTTGATATACTGACATATCTGTATTTATTAGTCACAGACATTTTAATCAATAATAATAAAAAAATTACTTAAGTATCCTATCAAATTTCAGATAATTTCTAGGCCCACAGAAAATCATCAAAAGTCAAAAATCAATCTTGTTCATTGGTCAAAAATCAACTCTTGTTTCTGGAGGGAGTTATTTAGGAATAAAATTTCAATTTGTCCCGCAATGGAGATGCAAAGCCCAGTAGGAGAAAACAAGTTTTGATACATGTTTTGAAATAGACAGCATACACTCCTATAAAGATCTTACCTCTTAAGAACTCCATGTTATTTCTGTTTTCATTCCCTAGAAGTTTCACTCTGGATGACAAAAGTGCAACCTTTTTTTGTTTGGTTCTGAGCAATACCTTGCCACTACCTTTTACCACTACTGAACTGCCAGGGATTCATAACCCACAGATTTATGTAATCCATCACTTTGTGTAAAACCAGTTTTATTACTTATCAGATGTGACTTTCTGTTTGATTTGCTAGATTCATACATTCTCTTCTGAAGAATCAAACAATTTTGTGCGGTTAGAACAGCAGCATTAAAGAAGCTCTCCAGTTGGAATTTAGAAAGCCCTGTCATTTTCAAACCAAAGTATATCAATTAAACAAGTGACATCAAATTCCACATGTATTTACTCACCTACACTACTGAGAAACATTGTCAGGTACATGATCCAGATGGATCGCCAGCGGCTCTTATAATGCTCCTGTGATTCCACAACATCCCTGCTTTTCAAACTGAAAGCAAGAGGGAGAAAGAAATCATTATCAGATCCTCTTCTACTCGCTCCCACATGACATTGAAAACGTTTTTCACCAACCTCTCAATACAATTGTGTAACTCGTTAAGCAGGAGTGGATTTCCGCTCAGCAAAGGCTATGAAGAATTTATTTTTTGCTGGAAAAATACTAGATTGACAAATCAAGCAAAAGAACAGAAATGCTATCACACACCAACACACAGAGAGACCTAGATCTGCAAACTCTTTGAACAGATATTTGAACAGATATTTTAAATACAAGTGTTTGTATTTAAAACCTTTAAAAAGTGGGTGTTAAATCCCTCACAGCTGTAACATTAAAAGAACCACAAACCTGAACAACCCTTGATTTGACTGAAAGCTACAGCCAGTCTGGTTTTATGATGAGAAAATAACAACATACAACTGTAAAAGTTGTGTGTAAAAGATACTGCTGTTGATAGCAAGGGCCGAAAAAAATTAAAATTGAAGTTACAAACTAACTTACAAAGTAACATCTATTCAGATGATGCAGACTCGGGTGATAGATATATAGATGCATAAACATAGTTTACAAATGCTGTTTATAAAAGTCGTACCTAGACTTAGGTATATCTGCCATTTTTTAAATAAGATACTTATTTTGCTGTCAGAAGGGGGAAAAAACACCAAGCGACGAACAGCTGCCCACGCATGAATTTATTTAATTCTATTAAATTTAATTTTTTATTTAATGCTATTAAACACCCAGGCTTCTGCCGCACACCAATCCTGCTCGGCGTTCTTCAGGAACATCCCGGGCGGGTGGCTTGGTGCATTCCCGCGGAGGGAAGCAGCCCCGGGCCCTCTCCCGCAGCCGGGCCCCTCGGGACGGTCCGAGACACGAGCTCCGAGCCCCGGAGCGCTGGGAACGGCGGCCGGGACAGGACGGGGCCGCGGCCGGGCAGCGCCCCCAGCCTCGGGCCGCCCGTGAGGGGCGGGCAAGGACCCGGCACCCACGGGCGGCCCCTCGGCTCACCCGCGGCGGCGCCGCCTCACAGCGGAACCAGCCCCTACCTGCTCTCCTCCTCCTCCTCCTCCTGGTCCTCACCCGCCGCGGGCCCTGCGGACCCCAGCAGGGGCTCCCGCCCGTCGGGAGGCGCCTCCGCAGCGCAGCCCGCTGCCGC